TTGTGCGTAATCTAGTTTGTAACAGAGGGGATAACAGTATCTGATAGCAGGCAGAATATGGTGGGAATTAAACCTTGTGTAATTCTCTTTATTCCGCTTCATGTTCCACTAACCCTTTGGCACTTACCATCTGGATGCTCCAAGCTCTAACTATGAAAACAGTTACTGAACTTCGTCTTTTAGTCTTAATAGATGTATTTCAATGTGTCTTTGCTAGGATTTGGATTCTTCCAAAGTTTGTTATTCCGAGCAAGCCTGGGGAAATCTGAAAGATCTGGAGAACTGGCTCCTGCAGAATCAGCAGTGTGATGTTGCTGGGAAAACAGACTCCCCTGGCCGCAAGGACTCCACCGCTACTTCCAGCTCATCCTTTTCCACTATTGAAAAGGTGGAGGAATTGGAATACCTTGGACAAGAAGAGATGGACCTTTCTGACTGGCTGATTACTGCTGACACAGGAAATGGAAATACTGCTTCAGATGAGAAATGGAAGTGTGAGTTTAAACCTTTCAGGGAAGAATGCAATTTGAGTGATTGGCTCCTCAAAGCTGAAACATGTACCAGTTGTCGTGGCAGCCAGATCAAAAATGTGGAAATTGAGAACCTGGGAAATCTGAAGTGCCTGAATGAGCATCTTGATGGAAAGAAGTCGCCCACTACATCTGCTGTAAATGCTTGGCTTCTTCAACATCCCCAGGCCCCCTTTAAAGTGGAAGATGTGTGCAAAGCTAATGAGCTGTGTGCCAGCTTTTCAGAGTGTGTGTGTGATGAAAACTGTGGAAAAGAGGCTCTTTGTAAATGGCTTCTGAAGAAGGATTGGAAGGATAAAAATGGAGTTCCAGTCAGCCTGAAAGATACACCAGACCCTGAGCATGACAAGACCAAGTCTGCTGCCAGTACCTGGCTTAACCCCACCCAGCAGCTCACAGGGGAGCCCGTGAGTGCGGAGAAAGCGGATTATTCAGCAGAGATCGCAGAACCCTTCAAAGTATTGCTGGAAAGGCCTCTGACGAGCTGGCTGGCCAAGGCTGAGCACAGAGCAGAAAGCGCAGAAGAGAAGGCGAGTCGGGAAAAAGCAGACAAGAGTTTCAAGAGTCCTTTCCTAGACCTCCTGGCTCCATTCCACCTCCCCTTGAATGTAAACAGTTGGGTGTTGACTTCAAATGACCTAGAAAATGCAAACCCGCCTCCCGCGGAAGATAAATGGCTTCTGCGCAAGAAAGCACAAGTGAGCAGAAATTTTTGTTACTGCTCTGTCTTATGTGCTGCGTTTATTGTTTTACTCTAACAACTTCCTTCTCTTTCAAATTCATAGCTCTTCTGGCTAATCCTGACTGACAGCTTTAGGTTTCTTAGCTCTTTTAATGTTTTTTAATAGTTACTTAACACAAAGCAATGTTACACTAAATGAAGACAGTATTAATCTCAAAGACTCAGAAGTCAGTTTTGGCTTTGTTTTTGAACACTTAGCAGAATCTGAAGATACATCAGAATGTGTTTGTGTTTGGGGATCAGTAATTACGGTGACTTCTCTTTCAGGACTTTGGCCTTCCTACAGTTTGTGACCTTTTTGCCTGTATGAAACTCAGTGGAGATAACGAAAAGTGGCTGTATCGATCTCCTTTACAGGTAGGATGCACAGAGTGTATTAGAACAGCTGAGCCTAAACATGTCTTGGGGGTACAGAACACAGACACTGGCAGCTAATGGTCATCTTCAGTTCTTTAAATGTAATGCTTAGCAGTGTTGTAATTTCCTCCCAATGGACCTTTTTAATAGCTTGGACCATTTTCCTTTGTCATTATTCCTCCTGTTTTGATAACAAGCCAGAGAAGGAATGACTTATGTTCTTGTGTAAATCGCTCAACTGACTGGCAGTTGGTCACTTCAGTTGGGACTAGAACGTGCAATTAATCTGTAAATTTCCAGGCGGTAATATGTTTACAACTGACATCATGTTTTTCCTGTCTGACAATACCTCTTTGTCATTGCGTTTGAAATTGATGAAAATAGTCCTTGGCAGGAGTACTTCAAACCCTAAAAGTCAAGATACTCATTCTAGGAGGAATTTTAGTATGATTTTTTTTTTCCCCAGGGTATCTTATCCATGTTATTTTTGCCAAAGTGTTGCTTTCTATTTATCAAAGAGAGTAACCCCATTTTTAATCTGTTTAGATGTGAAGAACTGGAAGTGTCGAATCATCCCCTTCCTGCTATCAGTCGCACATCGTGCTGAGTGACTGCAGCCAGCTGAGTTCTTGTGTTTTGTGTTCGGCCGTCTGCTTTTTCTTCTAAAATTATAACAGAAAGAAAGATTACTCGTAACAGAGTTATGGTGCAGAAGATGCCTTTTTGTTATGATTAATTCTGAAATGTAAACCCACTGAGCATAAGCAATCTGATGCTGTAGAGGTGTTGGCAAGTTCCCGTCTGTTATGGGGATACAAGGATCTTCTTTCATGGGTTGTCACTTGAAGTATGTTGAAGCCAATGCAAGTATAAAGCAAAATCTTCCTGGTGCTGTGAAACGTCCACCTTTGGCAGCGACTTGAGAAGTGCTGCTGTTTCTTTCAGCTGCTACAACTTGGTCATGCATTGCATTCCAGCGTACGGGGACTGCAAGGTAACTTAGGCTGTATTTGGAAGCAATTTCTTTCATTGAGCAGCTGCCAACTTCGAAGGTTTCATTTGCATCTTGTATTGGTGCATCTCCCAGCTGCGTGTGTGTAGTCCAGATTTTGAAAAGGACATGGATTTATGGGACCTGGCATGCAACAAGAGAATTGGTAACTTATTTTTAAATGAAAACTTGTCTTGCAAATTTTTGAGCCGTTCAGAGAACAGGGTAGGGTGTTAATTTTTGTGCAGCAGGAGATCAGATCCTACCGTGTCCCCAGCATTTAATAACTATTTGAGTGTCCCTGGAAAAGCTGTAAAAGGGAATGTGTCTTGTTTCTTCTAGCTCTAGATAATTCATAATGAATTATTATTGACGAAACCACTGCAAAGCAGGCATCTTAGCCACATAATATTTAAAGGTAACATTTGGTGAATTAGATGCCTTTCAGCAGATTGACGTCATGCTGTTTCACTGGGAAACACTAACTTGGCAAACTGTGTGGCTCCCACTGATGCAGCTTAAAGGTATTTAATCTGTGGATTTCCATGTGATTATGCATGTGAAAGTGGGGTCCAGTAACTCACATCCCTATAGCTGTGGACATAACATGAGCAACACCTCTTCAGACCTTTAGCAGTTTGAGCCCATAGGAAAGAATGCAAAGATGTTAGAGGGAAATATGGATCATGAAAAACTGGAGCTTTGTAGTTTCTGGTGCAGTTTCTGTTCACTTAACAAATTGCTCTTTATGAAAATAGCCTCCCCTTCTGCAGCCTGCCTGGGAACGGAAGTTATTTGAGTTCTTTACAACCCTGTAGAAAAGAAATTATTATCAAGATCTGACCTTGATACCATTTTGCAGTGTGAACACATTCCTGTCTGATTGAACCTGTGCATTTGTTTAAAAATAAGTTTTTAATCTGAGAAGGGGACACTGCACATCTGAAACCAGACCCTGAAAGGGCTTAACATCAGCAAACCACTTGAGGCTTTTGTACTTTCATAGCCAGGGCTTTCTGCTGGAGGCAGAAAAGTGTTTTGGAAGTTCACTGTCCCCTTCAAACATGTCCTTGTTGCTGTATGGGAGGACTGCACTGTGACTACTCCAATAATAGCCTGGTGTGATTAGCAGTTGAACTTTATGAAGGTGATTGACGTGCAGCCCACCTCTTCTAATTAATTCCTTGTAGTTGTCATTGTGTGCTACTTTGTCCGTTTATTATGGGCCTTTAAGAGGTATGTATTCCTTTACTTACTCAACTGACTTGTCACTAATTGATATTTATGTAAAACACTGATTAGTCTTTTCCATTAAAAAATAATTGCAACCAAAGGGCGTGTTGTGTCTGTTTTGCAAGATGGTTAACAAAAAATGCTGTGGCACCTGCCCTGGTTGGCCTCTGTCTGGGAGCTGCTGGAGTTGAGCTTCCATCCTCAGATGAGATTCACGTGGTTTAGTTCATTTTGCCACTGCCTGGAGCTGCACGGAGCTCCACTGGGAAAGGCTGTACAGCCAGGGGGGAACTCCTGCCTTTTACTGCCCTGCAGTGTGAGCCCCTGGACGTGCAGCATTGTGTCTGAATCACCTGGGCTTTGCTCAGCTGCTCTGAGAAATACAGACTTAGACAACGTGATGCATTTGCTTCTTATCACTCTTGAACACTTTGAGAGGATTCATGGATTTTAGTAGCTTTTGGTGCTCTTCTCCCATGGCTGAAAAACACCTGTGGTCTGGCTGTGCAATTGGAATCAAGTTCCTCTCTTGCTCTCCTGGTGTTTGAACATCGGACTCCTTGCATGAGTGGTTCCTCCTTTGAGGATTTTCCATTCCTTTAAACTGCAGCCTGCCTTGTACCAGTAACATTTACAGCTGGGCTTGGCAGCCTTTCAGCCACTGTACCTTGAATTTCATGGCTGTATCCCAAACGTTCATCTTTCAAAGACAGGGACAAAGATACTATTAAGTCATCCCAAGAGTTCAGAGTAGCACGAGCAGAGAGTGCTGTTCATGGCTTCTCAAATTTTGGGGAGATTTCTTTGACTGAACATTCTCAGATATCGGACTGATGCCTTGTGGTGAGGGCTGCATCCTTCCCTCCCACACCCCTCCCTGGAGCAGGGGGCTTGCAGGGTTCCTGGGGCACCAGCTCTACTCCTCGGCCCTAAACCAGCTGTGGTGCAGTTGGGCAGCTGTTGTCAGAGGCAGGGAGAGAGCATGGCTGGCAGAGGGGGGAGAGACACCCAAGGGGGACACGTCTGATGTTAATAAAGCTGTGAAAGTACCAAAGAGGGTTGTGGTACCCTCTGGTGTTCTGCACTGGGTTGGCATTCACCAGCACAGTCCAACGCTCACAGAGGACACAAAGCTCCACTTAAAACATACCAGTTTCCTATCCAGAATTTATTAAGGACAGGAGTAACCTTCTGTTAAAGCATAAAAAAGGATTTTCCCCTTTTTCAGTCATAGGAAACACAGGCTATGAACACTGGATCATTTTTCTCCCCTAACATATGTTTGCTTCCTGTTTTCAAAAGCAGCTTCTTCTTCTTGCTTCGGGGAAGCTGGAGGTTTCTACCATGACCAGTAGAAATTTGTTGATTTTTCAACAAATTCCCCCAATCATAAGAGAAGTCACCTGCTGACAGGGAACGGTCCCAGTGGTTTGCCTTTCTGTTCCAAAGACTAGGCAAACCCAGCCTCACAAGATCCAAAAACCTTTCATTACACCCATTGTCCCAGGCTCCCTCACTTGCTGCTCCAGCACGGAAAGCTGCCTTGGATCTCTCAGCAAAGCCGGATGCCAGACTGGCACCAAAACCTTGCTCATCAAGACAACCCCAGTTCTCCCATGCTCGCGTTTATGTAATGCTGCATGGGAGGGCTGTAACTTGCTTGCCAAATCCTGTTTGCAACTTGATTTTACTTCCTTTTATTCCTACTGAACTTGCGTATGCTTTTGATATATTGTTTGTTTGCCATTAAACTGTGAACACAGTATGTCGTGACACAGAGTATCATAAACATGCTTCTGGATTCCATACACACAGTTCACCTCCCTCACTGCTGCCTCCCTGCTGGTTGTGTTTCATAGCTCAAACTATCACTCCGTACACCAACAAAGTATGAACCAAAGTTTTTAACAGCTGTAACACAGCCATTTCAGAGCATGCACTCAGCTCTGCCCCTGAGGTAAGCAATTCCAAGAGATCTGAGGGTATTGCAGACCAGGTAACACACTCAGTTGTTCACGAGTCAGCCTAGCCTTAAGGTTGTGCTAACTCTGAACTTGAACAGGCTTACTCCTACATTATCTCTAGTGCACCTAAAGGAGGAAAGACATTTGTTAAGCTTCAGAGTTTCCCTATTTAATTAGGGCAGAAAGCTCCTGGGTCATATTTTAGTCCCGAAAAAGTCTCTAGAAAACCTAAAAGATACATTGCAAAGTTCCTGATTTAAAAAGCAACCGTCACCCAACATCGGCCCCCAAAGCAGCTCTCAATCCTTTATCCATCATGGCCAAGAGCACTGGAACTTAAGTCCAATTAATGGTGGCCAAGAAACGTGGGGGAGGAACTCACTGATGCCAACGGGGAGGGAAGAAGCTCAGAAGAAGAGCACACGGTTTCCTGACGTCCCACATGGCAGTGCTGCCAGTGCCCACGTCACCCTTGTGCAGCCTCCGAGCAGGGGACAGTTTCTTTGGTGGTAGATCCCTCAAAAAATGCCCGCTGGAAAGTGTAGCTCTCTACCCACAACACTAATAAGCAGCCCACTGAAGACTGTGAAACGTAAGGCTTAATAAAAACAGGCATTGCTGACATAAATCATCTAATGTGACCTGGTATCCAAGCAAAGCTGATTGAGTTCAGCTGTGAGGGCTCGTTAGCTGGAGCTCTATAAAAAGCTGGTCTTGGTGGTCATTTCCTCCTAAGGAGGCTTCTTAGCAAAAGCTGTGTTTCTTTTTGGAGGAAGGTAAGAGATAGTGCCTTCCTGATACTGCCTTTTTGTTGCTTTTATTTTGTCAGGTGCAATGTAGTTATCAAGAACTGTTTCAGCAGGGAGACCTCAAAGTAGACTCTTGTTTAGCTTAAAGTTGTCTGCTAAGCAGTAAATTTCCTGTTTTTCCCTGGTCCTGCCTTCGCACTGTCTTCAGACCTGTTTAATAATTTACCTGTTTAATTCTTTAAACATTGAAGGAATGAGCTGTTACACAGTAACTCTAATTACTGAACTAATTAACATCTTATTGTTTAATTTATGCACAAATGATGCTTGGTACATGGTTTAATTTTAACACTAGAAAAGGTGTAGGTTCATCACAGTCTTCATTCTGCCAAAACCTTACAAATGGTATTTCAGGCAAAAAGCTTTGTGCTAATTAAAAGTCCTGCAATGAGAGGCGTTTTTATACTGTTGGTTTTTAACTGTTGGCTAAATGAGTTCTGAGATACTGGAGCACCCAAATGTTTTGATAATCCACTGGTAGCTGTTCTGCAACAGCAACTGTACCTCATCCATAAACAAGCAGTTCCTTATTTATTAGAGCAAATAAGGGCGTGCAGTCAAGCCTCACCATAATCACACATCAGGAGACCATCAGCCTGCTATTCCACTTCCCCTCATGCACTGACTCCCCCAGGATTTTATCACGTTGGTCCTTCAAAATAAATCCATAAATAAGTCACTGGATGCAGCTCATTTTTGTCTTACCAGTAGTAGGAACAGCAAAGGATAGAAATGGCATTGAGTAAGTACCACCCTTTTTATTAATGATGATGTCCCTTTTTATAGCTTGCCTTGTGCTGTCAGAGTAACAAGCCTTGCCCTATGCCAGTTGCCAGGTGCTGTGTGCTGAGGCTGCAGGGAATGCTCTATGGATACAGGCTTTATTACAGGGCCGTCGCTGCCGTGCCCCAACAAACCTGGCAGCGGGACTCGAGCAGGCCTTGTGGCTCTGGCCCAGGGCTGGCTGGTGAGCGTGCCAGGGAGACTGTCTTGGTGGCCACTCTGTTCACTTGCAAGTCCAACAAATATTGCTGCCTCTCCAGCAACTGGCTGGTGGGAAGAAAAGGGCCAGTCCAGCTACACGGTGTCAAGAGGTTCCTCCCAGCACAGCTTCCTTCAGCTTCACACTAATTGTAAATAAAATAGGAAGGGGCACCAGATATATCTCACAACTGATTTGATTGGTGACTATGCAGGCGTGTCCTCTGCCCTGCTCACAGGGACTGCCGGGCCAGGGAGCCCTTCATGTGCTCCCAGTTGTTGTACAGAGCGTAGAGGCCGGTCAGCGTCAGACCCGCGATCCCACCTCGTGCTATCGCACGCATTCCCCCTGAAACAGAAAAAAGAGTAAAGCTCATTGAACTCACATCTGAGGAAATGGTCAGTTAACAGCACTTCCAAGTTAGCAGCAATAAATCCAGAGGCATTTTAATGCAACAGGGTTTCTTTTTTGAGTAACTTTCCAGAAAGCATCCTTGTGCTAATTCTACCTTCCTGTCAAACCTGCTGCCAGGCTCAAGGTCATTCCTGGTCCTGACACTAATTCTGCTGTAGTGGCTTCCTCTCAAACTGTGTTAGCACTACTGCCTCGTGGAACCACTACAGAGCGCTGGAAGCAAAGATGGCTTTTCTCAAGTCCTACTTAATCTATTCCATCTGCCCTTAACACCATTGTTTACAGTTAGGTATGATCTCTTCCTTTTAGGTTTTCAGAGGAGGAATATGCTTTTCAGTTATGGTAACTAGCTCTGGCTGGAAAGAGAAAGAGCAAGAGTGAACACAACAACAGCTGATGTGGACATGACCTTGGGCTCCAGAGATTCATGAGGGCCATTGTGCAGAACCCATCACTGCTTTTGTGTCTTTGGAATTTTAAAACCATTCGACAGAAAAATAAAAAGTAGATGAAAGGGATTAATTGCAAGAATTTACTAGGGTGTACATTGAACAACTTTTTATTAATATTCAAAATTATCACAATAGCGAAAATTGTCACACAGGTGATTAAGGTTTGTGAGCACCTTAGTGTAAGGTAAAAGAGAGGGCAAGTTTGGCTAGTACCTGGGTGGAGCTGGGAGTCAGATGGCACCCCAACTCCATTCCATCCATGCAATGCTAGGGTGTACAGTGGCAGAAGTAGAGACTTCTGATGCTTTTACTAAACAACAAAATGCTTCTATTCCTCAGTAGTAGGAAATGCCTCAGTAGAGCTCCCAGAATGCACCATAAACACACAGGAACAGCTGAGAGTATGACCCTCAATGCTAGGAAAACTTCACTGAGGTTGATTCTGCAATGTTTATCATTGCAGCTGAAGCAAGCTAGATAACATGTACAGTGTATAGAACAAGGCCAGTTCCTGCTGACAGCAAGATAAAACCTGTCTGCTTTACTGGTGAAACTGGCAGTGCAATTCAGGTTCCTCAAACCTGAAAGCAAATCCATCTCGGTAATCAGAGAGATTTTTTTTTTTCTCTATGATGGGTCATAAAGTTGTCTCACAGAATTGTTTTCAGGCTTGTATTGGGGTACAAAGCTGTTGGTGTCAGTTAGACTGAGACTGTGTTCCCTGTGTTGCACGGTTAAACGGATTTCATTGGAGTTGTTAAACTTGATACTAGGAGCCATGTCTAGCCATAGTTTCTAAAAAATTCATTCCCAGATGTGACCATTTGAGAGCTTTTTGGTGTATAAGCCTAACTGAGTTCACCACCCTAACTGCTGAGAATTCAACAGCTCTAAGAAAAGCCTTACTGAGTATTCCCTATGTGCCTAAATCAGCATTTAGGAAAGCAAATGTAGACTTCTGCGTTTGCTAATTGATCCTGAATTTGTTGCACAAAAAAGCTTTTCATATGAAGGGGTTGCAGCTGGGTACACAAAACTAACCAAGTGCAAGCAGGGTCTGGCAAAAAGCCACAGGTGAAATTTAAAGGACACTTTGTGCAAAACAAGTATTTGAGATAATCTGTAAAAATACTGACTCCTCGTTTCTGCTGGGAAAAATGAACAAAACATTGGAGCCTGATTTTCTGTTGTTCTTATCAGGAATCAACTGATCACAGCAGAAACCCCCAAAGGGGGCTCACAAGCATTAGGGTGTACAGGGAAATGCCCAGAGTGTGGAACATCCCCACGGAACACAATGCAGACAGAGCTCTGGCTGTTCCCAGAGGTTCTTCCCTCAGCCCCCAAGTTCAATTCTTCTCCTCTCCTCTTAAAATCCTATTCTTCCTATGGAAGAACAGGTAATTGAAAGCTGATCAAGCCTGGTTCCAGATTTGATGAAGTCAGGATTGTACAAGAAAGGTATCATCTTTACTTTGGATAGCTGAGCCACTTGGTAGCATCATGTGGACTCAAGGCACAGTTCTACTAAGAGGTAATACTTCTAACACAACAAATGTTGGTATTTCCATGTGCTGAGGCCAGCCAGGTAAGGATGGCAGCTCTGAACCCACTTAAAAGTGTCAACCACAGGGCCTAAAGGTGTCTGTAGGCTCACAGACAACTTGGGGACATTGCTGAAGGTGTTTTTGTGAACAGGAACTAAAATTGGGCATTACTGAGAGAGAAAATATCCAAGAAAACATGCAAGAAATGTTTCTTACCAGGTCCCCTAAGCTTCTGCTACAAAATATTAACAGTAATTTTTTTTTTTTTTTGTAGCAGCTGCTCCTGGTTTCTGAACTATCCATGGTAAATACAAAAAAAGGGAAAGAGAAAACTTTCCCTAAATGGTCAGATTTGCATTTGGGTAAATATGTGTAGGTCTGTGGCAGACTTCAAACAGTAATGCACTGTAGAATGCAGCCCTGTTGCTGGGCAGGAAATGTTGGGCTCTTTGAGAAAATTAACTTGTTAACAAAAATAAAAAAGAAATTCTCCACTCCCGTCCCAGCTGTGTTTGCATGATAGAACACATTCCCACCCCTCCTCTGCAATCTCTCTCTGCAAGCCTCTGATACCAAGTCTGCCCCGACAAACCCTGCTCAAACATCACTGCGAGCCTCTAATCTTGCACGTCCCAGTAAGATAAAGGTTCCGGCTGACAGACACTTCTGGAAGCAGGTATTTTGAGATCAGGCACCTTGCACATAGTTGAGGACTGCTAGGGGTTTCCAGAGACACATCTGATGCTCTCTACATGGGAGTTTCGTTCTCTGGCTTGAGCTGCTGCACCTTTTCACCATAAAGTATTTGTCTCTGTTCTGTGCACTTGCAGTAGGTTCCAGTGATACATCGTGCCATGACACACACCCTGCATTCCAGTGCAGCTGTGCCATGACATGCAGCATTCCAGTAGCACAGCTCTGCATTAGAAAATAGGAACAGTTTCCTCCTCCTACTCCATGGTGTTCATTTTATGAAATCTTTTAAGTGTGGGCAAAGTCTGTGGATACAGAAATTACTGAGAAAATTTATAAACGTATACTGGGAAGCAAGATACATTCCAAAAATGCATGTTCCATTTTTCTATTGCTGCAGCCAAGGCACTATTGTGGTTAAAATACAGAAACAACAAAGCTTGAAACAGGGAACATTTCCTGTAGTTACTGTGCTATGAAGGCTAAATTAGAAAAACAGCAGGAATTTGCAATTTAATTTACAAGTTTAGAAGTATTAGAGCTGTTGAAATTACTTTGCAAACGTGATTAAAATTCCTGTCTTCTCACTGAGTGAAAGCAGCAGCACCTGACTGACAGGAAGGCTACTTCAGCTGCTTTAAATGGCATCTGCAAATCCCTGCAGCAATGAGCCCTTAGCTCACTGTTCCTGCCTAGGAGAGCTGGGCAGCACTGAAGGCAGCACTGCTCTGTGGCCACACATACTCTTAGACATCAGTCCTCAAGTAACTAAGAAAGCCTCAACAAGCTGTCATGCTGCTTTTACTTTGCCCTTATCTCTTCCTTCTTTCAGATCTGAAACAAAAATCCTTTCACTAAACATCACTTGACTGATAATCCTATGGACCTGTTCTGCTGAAAGAGGTTTTAAGAGGTTCTTAATTTCTAAAATGCCTGACAGTCCTGAACTTCAATGTTCAGAAGCAAATCCTTTACTTGCTTTTCTCCAAATAATGCAGAAAAGTAAGATATCCCAGTCCACATCTGTAGTAGTCCCCCAAAAGCTCCTCTTTCCCTCTCCCCATGCAACAGGAACAAAAAACCAATCCTGTCTGGCCAAAAGAAAAACCCCAAGGGGAAGAGGCTTTTTATAGCTCAAGAAGTAGTCAGCTAACACAACCGCCCTGAACTACTCACTGAATGTCACAGGACTGATCTTGAGCTCCAGCCAGACTTTACTGCTGGCAATAAAACGTTTAGCCCTTCTTAATTCATAACGTATTGACTTTTCAGGGTCGTGTTCTGAGGTCTTAAAATGACAACTACTACCTTCAGCTGTCGCTAGCATGCAGCTCCCTTCTTTTCAGACACACCACTTTATGTACCAAATCACATAACATCTACTGGGCAAAAGGCATGAGATGCTGTGCTTAGTATCGGGTTCCTACTGCACTAAAGTAACTAAACAAAGTAATGCAGTTTTTCCAAAGCACTACTTTACTTTTGTTCTTGTTACCCCTAACCTTGCCGGGGGGGGGAAGGAAGGGGATAATTATCTAAGAAAAAGAACATCTACAACCTGTGTAACCCTCGGATAAGAGGTAAAGGTTAGTTAACTTTTCTGCTTACTGAAGTCTCTGTCAGGAATTTCAGTGAGAAATTAATGGCTGTCACACTGGGTCAGACCAAAGTCCCACCTAGCTCAGTATCTTTTTCCTGAGTGATCAATCCTGCGTGCTTGAGGAGTGCAAGATCCTCAGCCAGCTGTACTTTTATGACAGGATGACTGGAACCATGTGCATTTTCATGGTGGGAGGGAATAACAGTGACATAGTGCACAGTGACAATCACCTTTTTCTTACTTATAGTTACTAGTAAAATTATGAGGAAATGAAAGATGAATGGTTTAGAAAAGAGGTTGAAAACATGTGCAAGGAGGCTAACCATTTGTTTAAGATGTGCTTGTGCTTCGTAATATTTATCAGAAAAAAACCTGGCATGACATATATTAATTTCTGCCTTTTCTTGAAACTGAATATAAGATAAGTATCTTATTAAATGGAAAAAATATCCTTATGGACTTAGGATATCAGACTCTCTTTTAGCAAAACTCAAACTGAATTGGCTGAGTCACAGTAACATTTTTATTACATAGGCCACTGACAGAGGAACACAAAGGGTTTTATTTTGTCTGTCACTCAAACTGAATGTTCTGGGTAGAAGTTAAGTGAGCTCAGAAAGCAGCTCCCCTAAAGTTGTAAGTCTGGTGAAACAAGTTAATACTGTACTCTTGTTACTACATTTGGGCTAAAATCTAATAAGTAATACTGGTATTGAATTTAATTTCAAATAAATGTTAAAGCTAGAGATTACTTTGGTCAGAGCAATCAACCACTATGATGTTTCAAAACTGCTTAAATCAGTTTTAACACTCAAACTCAATTCAGTGTCTGTTAACCTGAACCATACAGTGTGGGCAGATGGATTCCAGCTAGCACGGGATTTATAACGGGGATTTAACTGCTTTAGTCACCTGCAATGGGGAACTTTCAGTGACTACTGCCACTTCCAGGGAACATGGGGGGGTGGGGCTGAACTGCCACAGTCTGTCCTAATTTGCAGACTTTTCAATCCTCTTTTATCTTCTCACACACAGCCTGTATGTCAAGTAGCCTTGCACAGAACTGCTCACAACCCAATGGCTTTAGAACGTACACGTTCTGTTTGACTCCTGGCATTTTGGTAATGATTAACACTTCTACAAGGACGAATTGTGAAAACTGGGACCACTTTGGGGCAACAAATCTCAGCCTTCAAAAAGTCTTCCCACTATTTTTTTTTCCTGTTCACTCATCTAATGCTTAATCATTTAAAAGTTCACTCTAGGCTTTGCCATGTACATAGGAGGATTTTTCAGTGCAGCAGGGCTGCTGATGTGATTCTTCCATCGGTGCTGTGTTTAAATATGAAATCATAATAAAAGACCTGCCATATGTTACAGGTTTCCTCTTAAGTATGTTCATGCTCTCTTTACAAAGCAGGAATGATGGAAGTGGGAGATGTGTTTGCACAGCACTGCCTCCAACTCTATATCCACACTTTGTGAATTACAGAACAGCCTTGATTTGCAACGGCAACACAACATGGCATTCCATGTAACACAGGAAATGATTACAATCTTGATATGTCACAGATGGGAGCTGATGACTTGCATGGTTTAAATATTCAAGCTTTTTAGGTGAATATATAAACTGATGCTGAGGAAAGGCAGAACTTAGAAGTTTTACCACACAGATTAGAAAGGGCATTCTGGCATAAGGTAACAGGAGAGGCAGCATGGGAGAAGCAGCAAGAGGGACAGTGCATGAAAAGAAAAAAAAAAAAAAAAGATTGGAACTAAGTGCTTGAAACAGATGTGAATATAATCTTTTTCTCTTTGAGAACTAATCCTTGATCTTTGAGGTCACACTTCCTGCATAGGGTGAGAAATTTATTTCTTTTGAGTTTCTCTGCACGATGGTTCATATGCATGGCACATACCTGAAATACAACACTGTAATGAATACAGATTTACTGACTGCACTTGCCTTTATCAGTGCTACTGTTAGCTCAGTAGATCTTATGTTACAAAACAAAAAGCCCCACTGTGCCCTGGTAGGAGAAACTTCAGTAGTGTCAGATGACTGCGTGTGACTGGGGGAGTGGCTGTGGCTGCACTGTGCCAAAACAAGATCACACATAATGCCACCTCTGTACTTCTGAAAGGTAGGGGGGAAAGTTCTGCTGGAGAGAAAGATGGCAGTTCTCCTTATTGACCTCCTACAGAAAATGTTAGACCTCTACACTGTTACCCTATCCCGCTGTTGTTGGTAATCTGTCATATCGCTCGTGAAACCCCAAGGAAGTAATTGATGACAAGAGAGCTGTGTGCCCTTGCAGAGTTAAGAGCACAAGCTGGTATTTATGAAGGCTGTTTGAGCCAACTGTTTTTGGTTTCAGTTAGCCTAGGCCAACAGGAAAATAAGACTGTTCAAACTGTTTTGCCCCATGTATAAAGCTGGACTTAGGAATGCTTTCGAGACACTGAGGCTCAGTTAGATATGCAAGAGTACATAGGTTAATTCTAAAATTATCTCCTCAGTAAAATGCAGGTGACTCATATAGACAAACCTTTATTGAGTTACTTAAGGCTTTTTTCCATGTAGTAATATCAATCTGTGGTACCCAGCAGTCCTCTAAAAAAGATGACACCTGCAATGGCCAAGCTTGGAACACGTGTTGACAGGCATTTTGCTGATGAAGCTCAGACTCTCTTCTGCAAACAATTCAGGATGCATCAGCAAACTAACCTTAAAGCCACGCTGTTCTCAAATGATGTTTTTTGTTGGTTTTCACCACTATGCAAAGACCAGAGTCCTACCACAGGACTACAGTTTCACCAACAGCTAAGTAATAACTTCACAAATACATCAGTTTCAATGTGTGTAGGGTTTTGTGCAGCTCCAGGTGCTCCTATCCTGTGAATCACCTGTAGAAAGTTTCATGTTCATGCAGTCATGCTCTATGTTCTGTGTATTCCATCCCTGCCCCCAATCACTTTTCCTGCACTCATGGACTTGGGAAACAATTAGTTTTATTCCTGCTGTTGCTGAAAAACATGGCTAAGAATGAGGTGTGTATGTATTTTATACGACCTTACTATAAACCTGAGTAAATACTTGAGTGTTTCTTCAGTATATAGGTATAACAGTCATAATTTGGCTCTCATGATTATTGCCAGTCCTGTACAAGTTGGAAAGAATCAAATTTAATTCAGTTGGATTTTTTTTTTTTTTTAAAGTGCAAGTTCTCCTTAAGCAGTCTTAGTTGTGTGAAAAAACACTATGTGGGTTAGGGGACTTTGAGCTAATAGCCCTTTTTACACTGTCAATTTTCAGAGCAGGACAGTATTTAGCAAAAGTAATGAGGAGCCTAACAACTAGGACAAAGCACAGGAGGAGGAAAGGGAGAAACACTTTGCTACTGTACCAGTGCTTTTGTATAGCATTCCTGTCAAGGTTCCAGCAGCTATGGTGTTCAGGTCATCTTCTGCACCTCGTGTTTTTTCAATGATGACTCCAAATGCACTGTAAAGTAGAGCTGCGGGAAAAAAAGATTAAAAAACTCCAGTTAAAACCCCCATTGCCTGAGGCACAAGGCTTAGAATCCAGGCTTGGTTGTAGCTATTTAGACTATGCTTCTGAAGCACAGATTTTCTGCTTATTTAAAGAGGTGGAACCTTCTGAAAAATCTCATCTTTGGTGGATTTTTTTCCCAGAGCTCTTTCTATTTTATAGATATTTATATTACTATTAGATTGCTTGGGATTTGAAGTTTACAGCTGCTTCTTCTCTGCCTGTGCATGAAAACTTTATCCCTAGAGCACACTTTGCTCTGGGACAACTTTAGACAACTAGAAAGAAAAATACATGGGCTTTTCAGTATGGATGCATCTATCATCTGTGCACTTTGAAGGGAAAAGGCTCCCCCATCATCACTCCTCATCTACTTCATGCTTGAAATGAAATATGTTAAAAACCCCACTTGTATTTCACACTAACAATTTGAAATTTTTACTTCTGCTAAAAACATGTAAATCATTCCTGAGCAACAACAATAATGCTGAAGGGTTGAACAGCAGCATCTTCCTCCTTTCAGCACAGGTGATGGTATTTTAGCTTGTCTTAGCAGCAAGCAGTATTAAGAGTGAGGGGAAGGAAAAGCTGAATTCAACATAATTTTTTAAAGCAGATGTTGCTCCTGTTCAGGAACAGAATGACAAAAACTGTCAGTAGTGACAAAAAGAATCTTTGAGGTACAGAAATGCTGCACAAACAAAATCAAAAGCAAAAATAATTCAGCTCCTTTGAAAGGAACTTCTCTGATAGCTAGGACAAGACAGAGCTATACCAAATCCCCAAACACAAAGTTCAGCTCAACTCTCATTTTGGAGGCTATTAACCATTTGTTACTGGAATGCACAAACATTTTCTTGAGTAATCTTTCTTCAAACACAGCTGAAAAAACATGTTAATGTGTCACCTGAACTGGAACCTTGAACTGCAGCGTGTCTGCATCTCAGTTTTCAGACATGTTTTGATTAGATTTGGAACAAAAAACAAGAAAAAAAATAACCAACAAAAAAAGGCAAAATAAAATCATTAGGCAATCAATGCATCTCTTATGAAAAAAGTGACACTTTTGCTGTAGTTCAGAAACCTATCTCTAACTGTGGCTTCTCTACTATGCCTCTAAAGCCAACGTCTGATTTGAATAGGACCTAATCTACCCTTTAGAAATAAGACTGAAACCAAATGTAATAAATGCAACTCAGCCTATGCTTTGATGCATTTCTCAAAATTCAAACATATGTAGGGTTATAACATGATGTAATCTAATTTAACATTGCTAACCTTCATTACAATGTTGTAGGGCAATGTGTTCCATCACTATTCTTCAGAATAATTTCACCAGTTTTAGATTTCTCCTTCCAAAGGAGGAGACAAAGAGCTTGTATTCCCCTAGGGCATTAGTTATTTCACTGGCTTTCATGAAATCTTCTCCAGTTTTTCTAAGGCAACTGATTGATTTTATTTCACAGCCTGTTCCCCACCCAAACCCCAGTTCACAGAAGTCTCTTTTTCATACATCAGACTACTGATCATTTTCTTTTCTCTTTTTTCCTAACCCATCATTAAAGGATAAATCTTTGTAGTCACTGTCACTTTTCTACTTCAGATAAATATTTTGTTGACTCTTTAAATGGAAACAAACATCAGGCAGTTGATCACATGACCACCAAGTCTTTCTGTAGGTTAGTAAAGTTACTTCAGAAGTATTAAATTATATTTTTTGCTTTAAGTTATGAATTAACTGTAATTTATTAACAAATAAGCATTATCTATAATTTCTAGTGATTTCTTTTACTCTATAGCTAGAGTTCTTGTTTGTAATACAGCAAAAACTTTGGGATTCAATTAAAGGCTTTTGGTTACTTATGCTTCAAACCCTATTTTAGCCTTTAATTTCATTTTTGAGGCCTACTGAAATGTCCCCATGTCCCAAAGAAAAAAACCTTCATTTTTTTCCCCACAATGGATTTAATAATGAAAATTTAGAGAACACTTCTGTTTAGAGGATACACAAATACACTTTCCCAACAATTACATCTTTAAATTGTTTTCCCTACAAAAGAATTACTTTACTTACCCAGTGATCCCAGAGTGTTAGCCCATAATGCTCCTTGCCTTGTCACCATATTTAGAATTCTATAAAGGAGTTAAAAAGGTATGAAAATGTTTAGTGCTCTGTGTTTACATCAAGGCAGTGTTTGACATCACGTCTTCTGTGTTTACATGACACATTTGGTTAATAAAACTGGAATAATGAACTGAAAGCTCTTCAAAACAAAACATTAAGGAAAACCCCACAGCTTGGTAATACATAATCTCTACCGTGGATAGTGTGCAGGCAATCCTGAAAGCAAATATTCAGTACTGTCGGATCTTAAGAAAATCTTTACCTCTTTTCAGGGCAAACTTAACCCTCACCAAGACTCAAAACTCTTTCCCTTCAAATAACTTTCTAGCCCTAGGTGTTCCTTACGTGGTGACTACACACAGTTACTAGAGAGACTGGTGCACTTATGCTGAGGTGACTGGGCAAAAGACCTCCATGTGCCAGGGACTGTGGGGATGCCTGAGCAAGTGGTGTGGGACTAAAAACAAGTCTGAACTAAAGCAAGTCAGGAAGAAGAGAGGCAATCCTTTGCAATTCCATTTGTAGCACCCAGAGGAGGTGAAGATCCCTGGGTATGTCTGCATGTATGCTCCCAGACTAGCACTACAGAGGGAAAGGAAACCTCTAGCGCGCTCTCAGGGAAGCACAGTGACATTTCTTTTTGGCCTCAGCTGTCTCCAGAACAGGGACAACAGCAGCCAGAAGAAATGACTGATCTTTATCTCCCAGCAGTGTAACACTGTCACAGGCACAGTATTGCTCTGGACAGCTGACTACCACTGGAACTTGGTTTATCATTTAAAGCAGTGAAAGAGTCACATGTTATGTCCTTTCAGATTTAACTTTCTACTTTTTCCCCCTTTTCTTATAATATTCATTAGGACATAGGTCATTACTGAATATGATTAGGCAATGAACTAAACAATAATGGAGAACTTCGTTTTGAAACGAGCAAAAAAATCCAAGAGGTTAGGGTGCTGACAACCCCTCCTTAATTACAACCCCCACTTCTTAACTTTACATCAATTTTGAACTGATGAGAAAATTGATAATTTTCATAACCGTGACACATTGAGATATTTGATTCAAATTCATAAAATAATAACATCTGTGTACATTTAGGATAAATTTGGAGGAAACCTAGGCAAGTCTCTTCCCTGCATCTGGTAAGGAAGACACAGAACTTACTGCACTATTTGAAGGTGATGACCTTCAGAGGGCCTTTCCCTTGCAGGGCCTGGATAACAGCAGGGTGTGCACTGACTGCCACCTCCTGGCCTCAATCCACCAAAGTTTGTGCTTAACAACACGGTTTTGTCCACCTCTGCTCATTCCAAATACATAAAACACAATTCTGTTCATCTAGACAAGAGCTGTAATTATAGTGGTGAATATTTTGATAAAGAGGTTGAATACAGAAATAGAATTTAAAATGGGGCAGAACCAGTATAAACTATACCAGGAAATATTAAGTTTCTCCTCTAAAATTCCCTTGTTACAGAGTATTCTGGGAGTGAAAATTGTTTTCCCCTAGTTATTCCACTTCTCTGATTTCCTATGGCTCCTTCACTTAGGTTTTCTTATAGCTGTGTCTAAACTACCATTAATTCTAGAAGAACCATCCTTTTGAAAAAATGTTCCTGTTTTTTACTGTGTTCTGTCAAACAACCAGGTAAGGTGAAATCATGGCAATGCCATGGGTGTTCATGGATGCCATAATCCAGAACAACTTCCACCTTGCAACACTTGCTGAGCAGCACACACCAATGTCATCCCTAATGCAAATCCAGGCAGGACCAGCTTCTGCATTTTAATCTTCTCCTGGTTTTGAAAAGCTTGGGAAAGAAGGGAGGCTTGCTACCAGAAAAACAACAGCAAAAAATAGCTCAAAGCAAACTCTGCTGCCTCTGGGAGTATTTCAACATATAAAAACACTGTTTTGCCTTTGAAGTAGATTTTTAGTAAACATCAAAGTAGTAATTTATTCTCAAGTATTTAAGGTAAGTCAGAGGACACCACCAACTGTGACTAAATGAAAAGCAAAAAGCTTGAACTGAACATCATTATAATGAAAAACATTTGATAATTTGTTGAAGACAAATGCTGATAGCCATTTGTCCCCACTAAAGAAAAAAAAAAGGCATTTATTTTTGCAGTACATTCATATCTGATCTTGCACAGGCTGGAGGAAACAACTCTGTCACTGAGGTGAACTTTTGAGATGGAACACTTACTGTACGTTTCTAGGTTTTGACCACGGCATGTTCTGTGTCTCCTTCAAGCCAAGCCTCAAACCATTCAGTGCACCAAACGCTGCCCCTGGTTGGCACAATATCAGTTATTACTTTTTGAGAAGAAAAAGGAACAAAAAACCCCTGAAACAATACTAGAAACAAATACTGAGAGTAGACTTCAGTGTACAGACTGAAGTCAAATATCTGTTCATGTTAGGACTAGAACAAGCAATGCCTTGCAGGACAAGACATTTACCATCCTATCAATTCCTGTCGTGCACAGGTGTTACCAGGACAGCTGGGAAAAAGGAAAACACAACCACCTACCTGTCATACAACATCCTCCAATGGTAAAAAAGGCCAGCTCAAATCTGCCTCGAGTTTTGCTGGCTCCTGTGGGCAAGATAAACTCATCTGTGTCCTGGGGGAAAACAAGAACAAATGACTGTTGTATTTTCCACGTGTACCTGTTTCAAAATGCAGGCCATACTAATCTTTTTTCTTTAATTCATGCAATGAACTAAAGATGGGTATGAGTGTTTCTGGAAAATTCTTGCCTATGCTAGCACAGAGAGGGAACACAGTATGTGCATACTTTATTAAGCATGAAAAGGGACTTTAAAGAGATAAACTGAGAGCTTTTTTTTTTTCCCCTAGCTCTCTTAATTTTTAGAAATTATATCAGTCAGCCAAGGAACTCATACTGTGTGGATTGTTGGTTGTTTTTGTTTTTAATGACTATTTGCTTAATTATTTATTACATCTTCCAGCAGGCAAAACAAGCCCTCCAAAAGCCTTCCTGTTGTCTGAGTATGCAGCACTGTTTCCTCACTGAGCAACCTAAATTGATGCAATAATGCCTTAATTAAGGTTTTCCACTACTCTGACACTAAAGAAAAACTGCCTTTGTGCCAAAAGAAGTATTTCCATGCACTGAAATAAGTGCCCTGTTTTGAAGAGGTGAAAAAAGGAGTGCACTCAAAATTAATGATCAGGTATGAAATATGTGAGTAGTCAGTAGTTTTTTACTTGTGCATCTTACAGGGACAGACTTGTGCTCTTGTGCATGGTCTAAGAAGCTGTAGAGGAACGGCCTCGAGAAACCAGCACGTGTATAGAGACTAAGGTGGGCCAAAGAAGTTGTTCAAGTAGACATGAACAGGATGCATGTGTGTTGATGAGGTGCTAAAGCAGGAAGATCTCTTTTATGCTTCTGTGCTTTCCAGCCACAGTATTACTCACCCCCTCTGTACCTGACACATGACTGCAACAACTGCAAGCTCAAGGAACTGCATTCTAAGGGGTTTTATTGGCCCATACTTGACAATAAATAAATGTGGATGGCAATACAGGAGAAATATACAGCTTCTGAAATGGTGAATACTGTATCAATAAACTGATTCTGTAATAGGGTTTCCATCTTCCTTCTAACTAGACTGTTGAAGAAGCTCAATGCATACACTAGTCAGCAGTTTCTAACAATTTTCACTACGGCCCCAAATGTCAAGATGAGCCAATCTTTGTCTGTTTGTAACATTTAAGTTTCTGTAAGAACCAGCCAAGGAGGCCCATCCTCTGGGCTTCTGCCAACAGCATTATAAAATGCTATTTTATAATGCATGTTACCTGCTGAAGGCAACAAAGCATTGCAGGAAACACCTTGTTCTGTGCCTGCATTAATGGACCAACCCAGAAAGTGGGTTTTAAATAATGAGTACCACTGTCTCATTTGTTATTATGGGAAGGCCAGAATCAAAATGTAAGGTTCTCAACAATAAGGTTTTCCTCTGCATTTGGAAAGCAAACAGATGGTCTTTGTACACAGGAGACTCTCTCTCCTCTTTTCTTCACAGAAACCCCAAAATGAAAGGCTAATAATTTAAGTTCTTGTATTCTAAAATATTAGCTATTTCTTTTTCCTTGAATATTTAGAATCCCAGGGACCTGTGGAGACTACTTGGTGCAACCCCCACTGTTAAAAGTAGGGTCAGGTAGTGCTGGGCACTCAGTCACTCCCAGGTCTTGTGCTTCTCTGAGGATGGAGACCCCACAGCTTGTCTGGGCAACCTGTTCAGGTAAAAACCCCAAAACTTTCTCACATTTAAATGGAATTCCCTTTTTATTTCAATGCACTTTCCTTTTATTTCAATACCCTAGTGCTAAACATAGGGGCAGTGAAGTGTTACAACACAGACTGTAGCACTGTAGCCTATGTGTTACATCAAGAGCTATTTTTAGAACTGTATTTTTAGTACTGATGACAACACCTTTTAGTTTAAAGCAAATTTCTCTTCTATTTTTAAAATCTCTCGGTATATACACAGGCTTTGTTCTACAGCCTCTGCTATAGCACTTTTAACACCAACATGTTCTCAGACAAACTGTACTAAGGAAACAAGACAACTTTAGAGAGTGTTTTGGGGAGAGGTCTAAACAATCACTTAGCCTTTTTCTGACCACTCAACAACAGCAGGCCCCAGGAGTGAACACACAAACAGAGGCACATCCCCTGTTTTCGGCCATTATGGGAATGTTACACTGTTATCTGGGCTACAACAGCTTCTAATGAAAGAGAAACATAATAGACAGCCCCCAGAACTGCATTCAGAGCTTGCAGTTACAGAAGAAACAGAGCACCAGAAGAAACAAGGCACACAGATAAGCAGACCCCATGCAACTGTGCTAATTCTACAAAATTTAATGTTCTCAGATACTACGAGCCACACATACAGAAAAATATTATCTAAATAAAATCATTAAGACATGCATCCTAATTGGCTTAACTGAAACATTTTCAGCTACAGTTAATATTGCTGAAAACGGAGAACATTACTGGTATTCAAGTTTTTTTTTCCTTATGGTGCCATCATTTTATATTAACTAACGTTAAGCTGTGTAAGTGTGCCACAGCTGTGTGATGTGACAGCCACGTTATTCTGTAAAACAAAAGGGGAAGTTTCCCTTCGTGATGGTCCCCCTTCAGCTGGGAAATGACATAAGGGAAGTGGTGTGACATTTGCTGCTGCTGCTGTGATGGCAAACCCTGTTGTCAGGTCTGGGGTTTGGCTGAACACCTCTGTAAAGTTCAGAACTCCACAGGGTTCTGAAGACCAATCCCTGATTCATCAGAATTCTCACCGTTGTGATGATGATCAGAGAACTCACAGTTCAGAAAACTAATCCACGAGTAGAGAGATTTTGGCTGCTGTTACTGATTGAGGGGGCTGAGGGGAGGGTGTGACCAATGCCAGGACTGCCGTGAGGGTGCTTTGGGTGTGCCAGGCTCGGGGCAGGCAGGGACACCTCCTCTCCTCCCCAGCAGCAGGCTTGGACTGACACAGCAACCTTACCAATCCTCTGCATTCTCGCTGATTGTCTCTTATACTGCAAGCTTTTATTAGGTACAATACTCAAAAATGCCTTCTTTCCACTGTTCACCCCTCGATACCCCAGCACACCCTGCACAGCGCTGCAGGAGATTTGGGACGTTCACGCGTGGCTGTGCGAACACTGGGATCGAGTTCTACGCGATAAAAACAAACCCTCTCCTCACCTGTACTAGATACTTGGGGTCCAAGTTTAAATACGGTGACAAAGGGCTCATTCCAGTCACTGAAAGGAAAAAAAATAAATGAACAGAGCACTTTAGCACCACCTTCCCCAATAACAATCCACGTCCCGAGAGGCGAGGGGGGCGCGCCTCGTGCGCGGAAGCAGCGAAGATTCCGCCGTGAAGTTGCACAACTCGTTCAAAGGCGGCCCCGGCCCCTCAGGAAGCGGAACGGGAGCTCGGGGATGGGGGGGAGCGGGGCGGTGTATCGTGACCAGCGCCTGTCGCGACACGCGGCACGGCCAGGGCCTGCCCCTCCGCCCCCATCCCGCAGGGACACGGTCCCCCGCTGCCAGCAGGGACACGATCCCCGGCTGCCCGCGGGCAGGACGGTCGATCCCCGTCCCGCCGGTGGATCCCCCGGATCGGCCCCGCTCCGGCCGCCGGGCCCTGCCGCGCTGCCGCTGCGCGGACGCTGCCCCCCGCCCCGCCCCGCCGGCCGGCCCGGTACTCACGCGGCACCCCGGCGAGGTCGGCGTGCGAGTACCCGAGGCCGCCGGCGCCGAAGAGGCCGCCGAGCCCGGTGCCCTTGGAGTTCCCGCCGCCCTCCATGGCGGCCGCCCCGCCGCCCGCACGGCCCGCACCGCCCGGCAGCGCCGCAAAGCGCCGCAAAGCGCCGCCGGCCCGCGCTGCTTTGCGGGTCACCATGGCGACGGGGTGAGGCGCGCCCGCCGCCATCTTGCCGCGCTCCGCGGACGCGGCTCGTTCCCGATCCCAGTCCCGATCCCGCTCCCATTCCCGCTCCCGCCGCGCCTCGGGAACGGCCCGGCGTGCGGGGCGGAGGATGCGGACGGGCCGAGCCGCTGCCGCAGCGACGCGCCGTCCCCGGGGGGCGGGTGCCGGCCGGCCCCGGCGGGCAGGGCGGCCCCGCCGAGGATGAGCGCGGGCTGCGGGCGGGAACGGCCGCGCAAGAGAGCCCGGACCGGCCCCGGCAGCCCCGGCGGAGCCGCGGAACAGCCGCAGGACGGGCCCGGGGGCAGCCCCCACACCGCCGTGGGGAGCAAAGGTTGGTTTGTGCGGGCCCCGGCGCGGCGGGACGGGGCTCCCCTGGGTCCGAGCGGCCCCCGCCCCTTGTGCCGCCCGGCGTGGCCGTGCGGGGACGGGGACGGGCCCCTCTGTGCCGCCTGTGCCTGTGCGCGGAGCGTCCCTGGAGCTGCCCTTCCTTGGGGCTGGAATTCTCTCTCGCTCCGGTCCTCTCGCCCGCTGGTCAGTGCGCGCTGCTCCCCCTCGGAGCCGGCGCTGGGCGCAGGAGCTTTGGCTTGGGTTTGTGCCTGACTCTTTGCGAACTTGCACTGATGGTGGCGACCATCCCGCAGAGGTGCGAGCCGCCAAAGGAACGTGTCCTGCAGGAGAGAGGGCGAATGCTGGCTGCAGGGAAAACGGCTCTGGGCGGGGGTTGTGCCGGGCTGTCCCAGGGAGAGCCGAGGGCAGTGACAGGAGCCCACACGGGCTGTGCCTGCTCCTCCTGCCGCCTCCCAGAGCTGCCCAGAAGAGTTCCCACGTGGCTTCCTTAGTTTTGTTTCTTATTTGGAGCCAACGCTGTCAGAATAAAATTGTAAGGCACGATAAAGTGCCTCTTTCAGGAATAGAGAGGAATGCAGGGAAGGGGAAGAAGACCCCAAACAGATTTGCTGTTTTCTGCAGCTGATGAGTTAAACCTCAGTGACCGGCAGTTAAGAGGCAACTTTGAGCGGGTAGTAGTTTGTAGGCGTGGGCTCCTACAGAGTTGGAAATTAGGTTGTTTTTCTCAGAGGTAGACTGTGGGGAGTGGTTTGTTGTATAGGAATGATCTGGGAAATCTTGAGTGGAAATTCAGACACCATGTAAAAAATTACAGCAAGGTCTAGTTCTGTTGTTTACCCTGAAAGTAAGTTTGTGTTGTCTTTTTGTTGCCTTTTGTTTTCACCACTTTTTCTGTAGCAAAAAGCGATGCTGGCAGTGTGAAAGTGATGTGTGTTACGTGGTCACTCAGTTGTTAAAGTTCAGGCCAAAGCCATTTCATTTTGATGCTGCTGCCATAATTTCTGCTTATTGTGCTGTGAATAAGTATTTCTTCCTCAACACAAGTTTATACCTCAGGAGTTAGTCAGCTGCCTTTGAAGAGGTTTATTTGTCCCATGTTTTCATACATCTCTTCAGGTTGGCTGGTTTTTTTCTGGCTGCTGCTTTTCCTTTACCTATGGGCAATTTGAGTTAATGCTTCAAATGTAGGAAGGTGAAATTTGGTAATCAGAACGACTAATAGGCTTCAATTTAGTGAATCTTTAGAAGTAAAAATATTATAGTTCATAAAATCTCTGTCTAATTTTGTCTGAGTGTGGTGAGGCTGAGCGTTTGTTGTCACATTGATTATGGCACAGGTATCCTTGTGCTTGTAACCTGCACACAGCTTGGCACTGCTCCCTGGTCACCCAGTCACATAATGGCAATTTTGCACTATTATTTGTGCCATTAGAGAGGAACTTAAAACCGTTTAAACAGTTTCTGGAGGTTACTTTTCATTCTGGAAATTCTTACGTCCTCTGATGGTGATATTTGATAACCAGCTGTGGGAAAGCGTTTATGAAACAATGTCTCCCAAGTTACCCATGGCTTACCCTGCCTTTGATACAAGTTACACAAGCTCCATTTGCAGAAAAATCCCGTAGTGACTGTTAAATCAGAAGAGCCAAATCTGTTCTACTGGTTTTTAAGTTCTGCAAAACTGTTGTTACAATAAGGGCACTGCAGATGTTTTACCTACCCAGTTGAAAGCAGCACTTTCACACTTTGCACAGTCAGCAGTAGCAGGTAGGTACTCCCTCTTGGCAAATGGAAAGCAAGGAAATGGAAGCTAGTTGCCACATTTGCAGAGTTACCTTTAAAAAAACCCAACGAAACACTACTAGAAACTCATTATGCTAATGAAGACTACTTCCCAGTTGTTAAATAACTGCTTTGAGTTTTTTCTCCCTAATCCTCCCCCACCGGTTTCTGCATAATTAGTTCAATTGAAAGCTTGTCTGAGTGACAAAAATACACAAATAAAACTGGAACTGTGTTGTTGGTAGTAAATCTGAAAAAATTTTGTCCTTTGTTTTGTTGCTGGTTTTGGGTAGCAAGCATTGAAAAGCTTTTCAAACTGTTTATGAATGGAGGGGAAAAGAAAACGTCCTTTTCTGAGCACTCGTCACCTTCCAGCGTGTGCTATGGTTATATTAAGCCTTATGTTTCCCAGGATGCTGCATACAAATAAGGTTCTTGGGTGGGTCCTCTAGGAGGTCTAGTTGTTCATTCTTTGTTTGTTTTAAGCTATGTCATGTTGCCTCTTTGTTCCAAAATTCAGCAGAAGGTTTTGGGACTTGGTGTGGTGGTGATTAAAGGTAATGATGAGGGCTAGAAAGTTCAGATTACCACCCCCTCCCTTTTTTTTTGTCTAGACACTCACTGTATATTCTTAACCTTTTAATGATATTAAAAGAACGATGTTGGATGAAAAAAAACACAAAAAAACCACCACACACCAAGCCTGGAATTTATAAAGATTATTACAAAAGTGACAGTAGATTAAATACTGCCGGTGTCCACATCCTCCCTACAGTAGAGATGCTAATGAAGACTTAACTGAGGTGTTTTTTTCTTCATGCAGTACAAGTGACCTTATTCATATGCAATGGTGTTGCACTTTTATCATGTTCCATGTAGTAACCAGTGAACTGTGGTTTTTCAGTTTGCAAACAGCAGACAATTACCAGTTGGCTGGAGAATAAAGGACCCAAGACAACGGAGTCCAGAAGGTAAAATGCAGAGCTTACCTGTTCAAAAGTTGTGTTCTGTGAGTGGGCCTGGGGGGAGATAAAGGTGCAAGTTGCCCACATAGCTGGATCAGTAGAGGCAGCCGCAGTTCTGCTGCTTTCCTTACCTTGGCACATCCTCTTGAGTTACTAACTGAAAGACTTTCACTACAAAAAGCTAACTAGTCCCCCATCCCTCTCCTCTGAACCCCCAATCCCAAACTTCTTCCTGACAGAGATTCCTGAAGCATCACTGTTCAGGTGAAAAAATATGGCTGTTCCTGCAAAGAAAAAGATGGGAACCTTCAGCAAGGGAAGGCAAAGTGCGACTTGCTTCTGGTAGCAGTCAACCACTGGATCAAGTTAGCTGTAGTGTCAAACTATGCCCTTGGCCAACAGCTCTGCTTTCATTTTTGTTTAAAATAGGGCACTATCAGTTACAGATTTTGGCTGATAGTCCTGTGGTCAACTCACAGTTTTGTTGTTATTTTACATTTTGGTTTGTCTCATTGGACTGTGATTGTGATGTAAACACAGGCAGCTGGATTTAGTTTCAGCCAGAATTTACAGGTGCTCAAATGTGCATTCAGGTTATTTTATGGAAGATGTTTTGAAAGTTTTGCTGCTGAATGGCATCAGGTAAAGTTTGATACTTTTTGCTAATGTGTCGTCAGGAGCAATGATTGCAAGGCAGCATTAAACTCCAAAGAGTTTAACTGTCTGGTGCAGAGCAATACCAGATAATATTTTTCTATAGCTGCCATTGTAAATGGCCTGGTTTATTTTTCATTGATTTTTCTAATAAATACAAATTAAAATCCCTATCAGTGCTAAAATAGCTGGGAAGACTCATGATAATGATTAATACAGAAGTATGCAGAGCTAATTAGAGGCTCACAGGTTGCAGTAAATCAGGGATGTTAAGAGGATGATTAAGGAGGGAATTAATTGTTTTTTTTAATTCCCTGTAGAATAGTGTCCCTCAATCCCTGATGACAAATTACAACCTAGTCAGTTTTAAGCAGCAGAATAGTCGTGTAAACATTTCATGTGCTTTTCTGTTGCGGTTAACATCACAATTTTAATTTAAATGCTGTCTTTGTGTTAGATTTGCTATCTCAAGTTGGCAACAGATGTTGTCAGTACCTCTAAAGAGTCATTCAGATGGCACCAATAACATAACTTTCATTTCTGTTCATCAGAATTTGCAGGAACAAATGCAGATATGGGAAATTAAATTATCATAACATAAACCCCTCTAAAATCCTTTCCAGGCTGTCATCTGTTGCTTCAAGCCCCCTTTTTTCTTTTTTGTTCTGTAGCGGTAGTGGTGTGAATCCTCTCTCCTTATCCTGAGTGGTCTTTTATAAAAGGTCTGTTATCATTCATGGAGAGAATTAATGCCTTCAGGAATCTACTAAGCTGTTCATTTTCTGAATTTAGGATTGTGTGATAATTGCATATTTTCCTTTTTACTGTAGATGGGAAGCTGGGCAATGACCAGACCCAGAGTTCGGTTTGCATTGGTAATAAACAAAGTTAGTACAATCAGGAGAAGGTACTGTTCAGAGCAGTGTGTTCAACAAGACTAATCAGAGGTTTTTTACAATTCATGTGCCATCTCAGTAATTTTCTTTATCAACACATGGACACACAAATTATAAGGAAATTTGAAGTGGCTTTTCCTATGTCTTCTTGAAAAATTTCATCTGCTCTTACAAAACTCACTTCATATCCCAATGTAACCACTGGAATGTGTTTCTATCCTGCACTGTCTTACACAAAGACAAATCAGGATATTTTTTTCTCTTAAAAACGAACTGATTTAATGTGTCTTTTAAATTTATTATCAGTTCTAAATATATTTTACGCTTGTGCTTTTGTATGGTAATTGTTTTTTAAGATGGCTCTTTTTAAAAGTAAGGGAGTAATAGGATGTTTTTGAGACTTTGGACTGCTGTGCTCTGCTCTTCTAAAAGATGAATTTGTAGCTCTGAGAGAAAGGCCCTAAACCCACTGATTTCCTTGCTCACTGTATTTAACAGATAAAAATGAAAGTTATGGAGGACTTTATCATGACTTCTAATGTTTTTTCATTTGGAGAAAATAGCTAAATATTTAGGTCTTTAGCTGTAACAGTAGGAGGGTAGCAACGTCATGCTGTTTAGGTATGAAAATGAGGATAATGAATAGATTCCTAAGGTAAGCAACTGATTCATCATCCTTTGGAGCCTTTAAAAGGAAATAGATTGCTAGTGAGCTACGTTCCTCAGTGCAGGAAACGTCGTTAATCCTGGTAGTGTTCACTTACAGATTAGAATGAATAAAAATCTGTACTTTCTATTGTTAGTTTGTCATTGTTCCTTAAAAAAAATATGCACAGTAATTTTGTTTGGAAATAAGACATTGAATTCCCTGACTTCTCTTCTGCAGCTTACACAGCAAAAGTAATAACAATACTGAAACAAATCCCAAGATGACTTCAATTAAAAAAGAGAACTTTTGTGAACATGATGTGAAAAAGCTAGAGAGCACTTGTCAGCAAAATTACACACAAATGTCTGTGGAAGTTGGTGCAAAGCCTGTAAATTTGCCTCAGAAGGGGAACATGTGTAACTGGGAGGCTGAGGACAAAGACGCAGCCTTGGATACAGATCCTGTGAAGGGGCCGCAGTCTGGAGACCTCTTTAAAAACGCCAACATTGATCAGATGCACAAAACTGGCAAGCAGGCCCAGAGAGGCTGTGAGGAAAGCAGTGAGAGTTGGACTCAGGGGAAGTTGTCATCAGACCAGTCTTTGAAAACAGGAAATACAAAACCTCCTTCCAAAGACAGTGACACAGATGAACAGGTGGCTTCATGCAATTCACAGAAGCTGAAGAGTTGCAATTCTGTCTGTTTATTGGGTGAACAAGAGGAAGGGGATGTAATTCCAGAAAGTCCACTTTCAGATGCTGGTTGTGATGCCTGTATACCTGATCTTGGAGGTCCTGGAAAACTGAGCAAGTGTCAGAGCAGTTCAGGGGACTCACCTGCTTTTGAGAAAGAGAGTGAACCAGAGTCACCGATGGATGTAGATAATTCCAAAAATAGCTGCCACGGGTCAGAGGCTGATGAAGAAACAAGTCCATTTCTGGATGAGCGAGAGGAGAATAATATGCCAAAATCCATAAACAAATCTTTTAGAATTCAATATGGGGATGCTGAATTGGAGTCTAGGAAGTCACGTTTCTCTGCCAAGGTCTGTGGAAGCTTTGAGGAAACAGATAATTCTGTTAAGGAGGACGGTCTGCATACAAAGCCACCTGGAATCTCTCCTGCTCCGTCATCAGAATGCAAAGGTGCAAAACAGGGTGTGAAGAGAGACTCCAAAATCACCTCTCACTTCATGAGGATACCTAAAGTTGAGGAGAAAAGGTAGTGTTCTGTCTGTCTGCTTCATCTGTTATTCTCATGCTTGAAAATTTCCTCTTTGGGCACAGAGCTTTGGAGGCTGGATTGTATAAAGAGTTTTGCAAAATATATTTTAAGGCACAAAGACAACTCTGGTATAAGATTGAAATTATTTTTAATAGGACTGTTTGTGCCTTTTTAAAGGATATATTTGTCTAGTCCAGTTTTTAAAATCATTTGAGATCTGTTAAAATTGGGGATTAAGACACTGCAGGAAGTTGATTTTCTTTATCAGAGTAGTGATTTAAACCATAGGATTTTTAAAGTTTGAAAATGAATGTTGGTACAGGAGTGCATTATGGAGTGTATCTTTAGCTTTCAGTATTTAATTTAGAATACTTGAAGAAACTGGTATTTTTTCAGTTTTATTAGTTTTACCTGTCAAAAATAGTGACTCTTACTTTGTTGAACCATCAGTGCTATTGATGCTTTGATTGAACTAGATATGAGATATTTCGCTTCTGAAAGCAGTTGTAGAGATCTGTTTCTTTGTTTGTTTGTTTGGTTTGTTTTGTTTGACCTTATCCATAACTTGTTAGAGAGGAGGACCCGTGGTTACACATTACAACAGACATAGAAGCCCTGAGCATGACGCGGGACTCTGAACTCCACGTGTTGCGTCAGGACAAAAGGATAATGTCTGCTCTGAAGAGCTTAGATTCCAGGGGGAGCTGAGAAAGTGAATTAGCAGCTAAGAAGTGAGCAGAAACAAAAGGGCTGTGTGTGCTGGCAGAACATCTGATTGCCTCACTAGACTCAAGTCCTTCAGGGCAAGGAAGTAGTTTCTCAGGTCTTTACTGGGACAGTTTCTGGATCTACAGAGCAGCACAAGGAACTTTTCAAGGAAATGGAAGAGAGGCGGGCTGGAGCTTGCATTTGAGAAATCTTAGGAATAGGCTGAGCGTGTAAAACAAAATGAAAGGTGGTTCTTAGCAAATTCTTCATCCATATGCTTTTCCTATAAGAAATCTGGAAAGGGGGGTTTAAAGTTTAAAATAATGGCTTTAGGGAGTTCTCTTTTCACTAATTTAAATGAATTGCTGTTCAGCAAAGCAGCAGAGGTTGAGGCTTGTGTTTTTCAGTGCTAGAGCATTGTGTGGTACAATAAATTGATGTTTGAGAAGTGAAACTCATGCAAAAGTAGGTTTTTTTGTGGCATAGATGGAAATTCTATCAGGGCTTTACAGAATAATCAGTAAGGTAGAGCATGAGGCTGTAAAGAGATGACTTTTTTTCTTTCTGCGACCTAAACAAGATAATATTAAGGTCATAAACCTCAGTGCCAGGAAAAATAGCGGTGTTGCCTATAGTACTTAAGAGGGTGATTAGAAAATCCTAAAGGTTTGCTACTGGTTTTTGTTAGACCAGGTCTACAGCAGATAAGACTGGCCCAGGTCTTAACTTGCAGGGGAAGAAGCAGTAGTGTATCAAGCAGGTTTCAGACATCAGTAATGCCATGCCAGGGTTATGCACAGGGGCCAGGACCCAGTGTGCTATGTCAAACATACAACAGATTCAGATTTTTCTTCCCCAAAATATCTCAGATTCATGCAAATACCTTTGACCATTAAAGAGGATTAGTTCATCTGCTCTTGCATGTCTTTGAATGTTGCGAGTGTTTTTTTGATTACTTTAAATTGTCTACTTCCATTGCAAGTATTGTATGCCTGGTGTGAGAAACACAACCCCAGTGAGAAAGGGTGCTAAAGGAATTTGTTTTCTTTTTTTCTTTTTTTTTTTTTTTAATTTTCAGTTTGAGGAAGGGATATGTGCATTTGTGCATGCACACATTTGTTTTCTAACAGTTGGGAAAAGGCTGTAGAAGGTATCCTGACAGACACAGACCACTGAGTCTGTCTCCTGTCCATGGATAAAAAGATCCTGTTGGGAAGGATGGCTCTGCAGAGGAATACCCTGCCTTGCTAACCCACTGCAGTTCTGTGAAGGTGTTTGCAGCCTGTAGAGAAGAGTGTTTTGGTAGACATCATGTACTTGTGTGAGCTGGGGAGGAGGAGGAGGAGGTTGGTGGTGGCGGGAGTTTTCCCCAAATAGAGCTTTGTCGTGGGGGCACAGCAAAGGCTGGCAAATAAACCGACTCTGTTATGATTGTAACCCTGGGGTGGAAGTTTGTGTATTTGCCTACCAGGTTTTTTAGTGGAAATAAAATGTTTCAATGTATTTTATTTTAACATCAGGAAAGAAAAGTGTGAGTTCAAACCGCAGAGGCCAGGAAGGAAGATTCCTAGATATGTGCCACCTCCTCTTCCGAGTAACAGGAAGTGGTTTGGAACACCGATCGAGGAGATGAGGAGGATGCCGACGTGTGGAGCCCGCCTGCCTCACCTGCGCCCCTCTGCCAATCACACAGTGACCGTCAGGGTATGATGGCTCAGCGTGTTACCTCAAACCTCATTTCTTACTGACCTGTTCACTGATGGCAAATGCCAAATGTTCGTCTTAGATTTCCACATCCTGCTAATACTGCTCCTTTGCCATTCCTTGTGAGAGGGCTCAGACAACTGATTTTCCTGAAAATTGACTTTTCTGATGCACAGGATTAGGATGTTAAGATCCACAAGAAACACAGTTATGGTTTCACTGCCAGTGTCTTGTTAGGAAGAAGTATTTTTAGTTTGCATGGGGGTGTGTGTGCTTCCTTGTCTGAGTTATAAACTGTGGGAATTTAAATACATCTGCAAGTAAAATTTGTACTTCCAACATTTTCATTCTGTATTTTCATTTTGATATGAATCTGGTTTGGATTCAAGATGTACAAAAGGTTCAAGATACGAAAAAGACAAAGAATGAAGAAGAATTTCTAGCAATTTTACCACTTCATTTTAGTATGAATCTGATATGTTTACCTTCAATCCTTTGGAGTAGTGTTCAGTCCAATTATTGCTGAAATAAAATGTGACCAGAAACATGTTGGGTTCATGGATAAATCCCAACCAAAACAAAAGCACCTTGAGTGTTCTGAAACACACAGTTCTGAGACAATCAGTTCTGCCTGAGGGCCATATATCAAATTAAGTCTTTAAGAACATTGTATTATTTATTTTTATGTTTCTGATGTTCTGTGCAGAAAATTTGAAATATTACTCTACCTATAATGATTTCTCATCCTTTTCTGTGTTAGGTTTAAAAATATTATTTCTGCACATGACTATCTGAAACTATATTTTGAAAATATTTGGATGAAACTGTGTAGATACTTAAATTCATAAATGAGGAAATCTATAGCTGGTAACTGGATGTATAATAATTGAGTATATTACCTTTACTTGAGTGTGTTTCAAGAGGTCAAATGATAAGGTAACTTTCTATTCAACAAGTATAATGTAAGATTAAGAGGTGGATTTTTTTCTAAGTGAATATCCATCGTGTGGTCAGCTTGTAGCTTACCCCTTTCCAAAACAGGTGGCTGTAGATGAGAGCTTTTTTAAACTACCTTTTAGCTTGCTTTTTATTTCTTCCATTTAGAAACTTGAAAGTAGAGTCTGAGCTTTTCCCCCCTCTCCTCCTGTGTTTCAGGTAGATCTTCTGAGGGAAGGAGAGGTACCTAAACCTTTTCCAACTCACTACAAAGACTTGTGGGACAACAAGCATGTTAAAATGCCCTGCTCAGAACAAAATTTATACCCTGTAGAGGATGAGGTAAGATTAAGTATTTGCAGATGTGTAATCAAATAAGTTTGTTTACACACAGATGAGTTTTCAGTCTACTGCATTTGCTGAGTTATCAAGCTGTGTATGGGATGTGAAAATTAAGTGTGAAAAGCTGGGTTCTGGGTCATGATGCTCCAGACAGAGCAGAAGACTTCTTTTCCTAGTAATTATTTCATCTAGCAATGAGTTGATGATGTGTATATTTCTATACTTAATGGAGTGGAAACTTCGGCTCCTTATAAATCTTATTTATTTACTTATGTGTTTATATGGTATATATTTTGTGTGTGTTTGTGAAGTAATTTGCAATGCCAACAGATGTGAGTGAACTTATAACCACAGTTTGATAGTGAGGTGTGTCTGACAGTTGTTCCACTAAAACAATGGCAGAGATTGGAGTTGGCCCTGAATAGTTTGTTGATGTGGTATTTCTTGTCACTGCTTGAGACTTACTTAAACATACCCACTCAAAATACTTCAGACTGTGGTGAATAAAATCAGCCAGCGTGTCTTACAGTGAAAACTGTATAATGATTATTGGTACTTGACTCTTGAACAGAAAATTCTTAAAGCCTCTATGAAATACACTCAACCTTTTCATTTATCAATTTTACAGATGGAGCATAATATGAATTTAGTTGGTGTTTCAGAGATAACATGTTGATGAGATAGATCTTTGTTGCCAGATGAGCAAGATGATTTGTCTCTTCCCTTGTAAGAAATAGCCAAGATGTGATAGTCTTGTAGGAAATGTCATTGTTGCTTACAGGGGGCAATACGACTTTCTGTTGAGGAAAAGTATCACAGGATGTCTTAAATTTGGGTTGACATGAGAGTCATCCACGGCAATATGCTTCTATCTTCCAAGCCCTTAATGTTCTTGAGGTTACATTTTTATAAAGTTCAGTTCATGTTTTTGAGTAGCAGATTTTATAAAGTGTGGTCGTGTTTTATCCTCAAAATTCACTTTCTTTGTGAGGAATGTACGGAACATTATTTGTCCCTCTTGAGGTGGCATGAGGAAGAGTGCTGCATTTGTGGAAAAAGAGCTCTGTGAATTTTGTAAATGTTTCAATTAAAAATGAACTCTCTCAGAAGTAAAATGCAATGGACTAGCAGTTGCAGAAGTTACTTTGCAGATACTCAAAAGATGTGTATTTTTTAAGAGCTTCACAAGTAAAGCAAAGTTTACTTTAAACAAATGTGTGAAAGAATACAATTATTAGTAAATGTGTCTTTTTGTTTTGGATAACTTAATCTGACTTTGTTCTGGGCTTTTGCTTTAAAGAATGGAGATAGAACTGCTGGAAGTCGATGGGAACTAATCCAAACTGCCTTACTTAACAAATTTACCTGCTCGCATGATTTGAAGGTAAGATTGCCAATTTGTAATCCAATCTATGTACATGTAAGTACATTCAGGCTCTCTGTGTACTAATAATGATTCTGGCTCCATCCTGTTTGTTTCATCATTTAATAAATTATTAAAAAAGCTATGCTATTCAGGGGATTACCTAATGAATTGAAGTTCTCAATGAGTCCTAAGTGTTACCACTGAATTTATTAGGTATTATTAAAATTATCGTCTTTTTTAAGTTTGCATAACACTGTGTTTGTCCAGCAGTACCTACTAGTTTGTGGTAAATGTGGCATGAAGGCTTTCTGTGGCCAGATGGTAGGGGATGCACAGGTGGGAGAGTTTGAAATAGTGACTTTTGCTTCAGTTCACTCCACTAGAATCGCAACATCAAGCTGCTGACAAAAATCTGTAGATTTTTGGAGACTAGTCCTCCGTTGATAACTTGCAGTTATGTGACAGGAATTGTGATTTGGAGCAGCTCAGAATTGCTATTATGTTTTTTTGTGAAGAATAATGTAATTTAGGTTATACCTGAAAGTCAGGGAAAGGAGGAGAATGTGAACGCTACAGATGATCTTTAAATGAATAAAAAGTGCTTCCTCAGCAAGTGGTGAGACTTCCCTTGGCAATACTATTTTATTTGGTATGTTTTTCTTGTGAATTTTGTTTCTAAACTGGTACAACTTCTACTGTATTGCTGAGAGCCACCTTTTATTGGTATTTTTAACAAGAGCATGCATGGGGTGCAAACCATTGATGTTGTGTGTTGGCAGATCCAAGCATGCCTTGTCTTGTTTTGTGCTAGGAGGAAAAACTTGTACTCTGAAGCTCATTCAATACTAAACCTGATGTAGAGGGTTCAGGACGGTGGAATTGCACCGTGTTAATACAGTGCTACAGATTTTGGTGGGCTCTGTGGCAGGTTTTAGCCACCAGATGGTGCTGTTCCTTCAACAAGGAAATTTCCTGACCTGGTTTTTGTTCCTTTAATAATTATCTCTGAGCTCTATTTTGTTGTGCTCTTTCCCTAGGAGGCCATACTGAGGTACAACGTTGCTTATTCCAAGAAATGGGACTTCACAGCTCTTACTGACTTCTGTGAGAAGGTAAAACAAGTTGATGTAAAATAGGAAGAAAAGTAAAATAAAAGTGACTACTTTGCCTATATATCTCAATGTTTTTGGCTTTATTTCCGTTTTCAAGAATAAAGGGTTTGCAGGCATCATCTGTGTGAACAGCTACTTGGCTGGTAACTCCGGCTGAAACAATAATTATACTTTATAAAATGGCTTAATTTTAAATCTTAAACATGTAATTTGGGTGCTTCAGTAACACTTAAGCTTATTGAAGGTAAGGTGAGAAATGTCCTTTCTCTATTTTATCAAAACAATCCTGACTGATAATCAGAAACTGCTAATTAAAGCATTGTGAGAAATTAAATGAGATGCAGTAGAAATTGTTGTATTCTTATTCCAGCAACTCAGAAGTACTTTTAAAGCACATGTACTTGTTTTCCTTGGGAGAGGCTTGCTAAATTCTATTAAGGTTCAGTGGAAACTAAATTTGATTCGAGGTTAATTTTGTTAGCTGTGTGTGTAAATAGATGTCTGCTTAGGTCATGTGGTCAGAGGAGGTGTTCTCTCGGTTTTCCCTTGCGTGTGGCAACTCTTTCACAGAAAGAGTTTCCTTTAGCAAGCAGCACAGTATTGTTATTATTGACAAAAGGTAGTTATAGAAATGCTGGTGGTACCATATTTGCAAGCCATGAGAGTTACTGTGCTCACCCATCCTGCTGGTTTAATGCTCCCTCCTCTCAGCTCGAGAGCCTCTTTTTTCTTTTGGGCCGTCATGCCTCGGTGGTAGAGGTGTGGACATTTGGCCTCTTTGCTGCTGTTGACTCTTCTACCAACTGAAATTCACTTGGCCTGTTCAGCTGTTCACTCTTGTGTTATTAAAGTACACATATTTAAATTAGAATGTTTTAAACTGCAAGTGCTGTTTAGTTAAAAACCTGACTCAGGAATGTACCAGGTTTGCATCATGTTGCTACAAGCGCAACTGAGCTTGTCCTGATGTGTTCATATTGGGAATTTGGGATTTTGAAAACTATGGGGGATTAGATCCAGAGATCATCAGCCAGAGAGCATAAGTAATATCAGCTGTCTCCAGAGAAGAGAGGGACAATAGGGAAATAGACTGTGTTTTGGGCATCATTCTTTCACTGGGGTGAAAATGAAATTTCTATATCCTCGGAATGATGATTTATTTGTGGGGTAACCAGATGAAGGGGGGAGGGCTGTTTCGTACAGAGATTTTAGACCATGTTAAAGAGTGTGCAGCAGTATATTGAATGAGAAAGAGTGAAGTGCTTGTGACACAGTGGCCTCTTGTAGCCCACAGGAGCAAAATCTTACCCTGCTTTGCTTTGTTGAATATATTGAGTTTAGAGAACTGACCACGTGGATGTGGTGCATTTTGCAGAGAACTGCTTGAATCTTTTCTGTTATAAAGGGATGTGTGAACTCTTTGAGATTTTTAAGTTAACAAGACATCTGCTTTCAAAGACTGTTTGCAGTCTGGTTAAGCTCTTGAGTGAGTGTTGACATCTTCTGTGGAAATGACCTAAATATACAGACTGTGGTGCATTGTAGTGCTTTTGAATGTGCTGTATTTGGCAGTTAGTGATTAAAGGCATACCAAGGGCCTGTGTATTTTCGTGTTTATCCTACGGTTTTGAGAGTACAGGGGAACTGTTTCAGGTGATGTTTGCCCAGTGAAGGCTGAGGGTGTTGGTTGAAAGGGAAGCTGCCTTCAGTAGTCAGCCCAAAGGGAGTGGAAGCAGCTCAACAGAAGGAAAAATAGACACAAATATATATTAAAAGGAAAAGATTAAAACAGAGTCTAGTTGTGTAAACATCTACTTATATTCTTGGGTGCTATTGACTTTCAGTGCATGCTTAGCCAAGAATTCAGTGGTCTGATCTAGAAGGGAGCTGTGTGCACAAATCTAATGATGTGTCTTTCACAGATTGGAGGCCACTGTATTCAGATATTACTTCAATAGGTCTGTGTTTGATAAATTATGAAGAACCATTTGTTCTTCTATCTTCTGATTATGGACACTGTTCACCTCATCTATTGATCTGTTGAAGGTTGTTGTATCAGTCTTACATTATGATTCTATTTTAGGTAGTTTCCTTCCAATTTACACATATTTTTAAACACTACTCTGTAAGATTCAAGTCAGTTGTCTTGTAATAACAATAATTACCAGTTTCTTTGTCTTAATAAATTTCTTTCCTTCAGGATTAGAACACTTTCAGCTTTCTTAATTAATAGGAAATAAATATTTAAAATGTATGTGAGCCAGGATTTTTTTCTGAAACAAGACAGCCTGACCAGTTCTGCAGTTGTTCAAAGTGTTGGCAGAAGAGGGAGCTCTCACACTTCTCAAAGATTCTTTTGAATGTCAGTTAATGTGTGGAAATAAAATTCCTGTTTGTATAGTGAAGTAAATTTGGAAAATTCGATTTTTTTGTTGTTGTTTCTTTTGAACAATTCATAGAATTTATACCTAGAGCGTAGAACTTGTTTGTAGAACAATGTACATAAAGATCTTTGTGGCTTATTTGCTTCAGACATCTGATAGTTTTGTTGTCCTCTGAAGCATTTCCACACTGTAATAATTTGTTTTACCATCTGTCTGTTAGTATTGGCAGACAGGCTTAGGATTTATTCAAGTTATTCCTTAGTGGATGAAAGTTATTAGTGCTAACATTTTTCTACTTGTGTGCAAAGTTCTTGTCACTTGGAAGTCATCCTTTCCTCTGTTTCTCCAGGACTTACCTAGAAAAGGGTAAGTTTAGGAAAGAGTAAGGAAGAAGCAGAAAAGTGAGGAAGCCACTATGGATGGAGCTGTATTGGGACCCACAGTGTGCTGTAGATGAGCTTTTTTTACGTGAATGATGATGAATTTGGTGTTAATTACACGCTTTTGCTCAACAGTGCTACGTACTGTAGTAGTTTTTATTTTTCTTTTTTTGCAGATTTGTCCTTTCACTTCCAGGCAAGACCAAATCATTTTGCTTTTTCCCAAATGTGTTAAATAAAAAGTCAAGTTCAATCATTACAGGCTTATACCTTAGACTAATCTGCAACAGCAGCAACTTTATCGAAAGGAAAAAGTAGGGTTCTGTCATTTAATACATGTGTCATTTAGTCACGTGGTCTGATGCTCTAAGTTAGACCTGCTTGTTCTGGACATGCTTTGTTTTTATCATATTGCTTTAAGGTCTCATAGAGCTTAAGCATAACTCCTTCCTCTGACTGCTTGCATCTGTCCTGCTCTTTCAGGAACAGAGGAGTGTTTAAATCTGAGAATGACATGACACTGTATAAGCAGGGCATAACTTTCTTGAAAGGTGATCCTTCCTTTAAACTCAGTTTTAGTTGCATAGGATACAAGAACTTAAGTCAGTAGGATTTATGTTATGAAGCTTCAGGAACCTTCATGATATAGAACCTTTGTTGTCCTTAAAATCGGAGTTAGTATTTAGGATTCCCCAAACACTTGTTTAAAAAGTTACTTGTGAAATGATGTCTGTGTGCTGTTCAGTGCTGAAAAGAATTAAATCCACTACTTAGGCATGTGATTAGAAGACAGATTGTAGTCTTTGGTGATTATTTGTGTATTGGAAATTGCCTGATCCAGTGGAGAGGGGTCAGGAATCAGTTTCCATATGAGGAATGTCTAAACAAGTTTTTGTTTTAGTTAAGAGAGATGTGAGTAACAGTTATAACAGTGGTGCCCAAAATAATTGTAAGAGAGGATGAAGAGGAAATAACTGTTCATTCTTCTAGTAAAGCAGTTGAAGGACACCAAATGAGTGTTCCTACCAGGTAAAGGTTTCAATACCAGACTAAAATAATTACTTACTGGGGTACTGAATAGAAGGCTGTGGAACCCCTTGTCATGGGATGTAGAGGATGCTGTGGCCTTACATCAGGTTTTGAAGGGATTTGGAGAAGTTGCTGTAAGAAAAATCCTGTTGACACCAACACAGATACTGTGATGAACTCTGGAAATTTCTCAAACAGATTACTGCAAGTGAAGAATGTTGTGAGGAAGTGCTGCTGATTACTTGGTTTTCTTCCTGTTAGACTTTTTGAGGCATCTTTTCTTGATGGGCTTTGATGAACTTTTGTCCATTTTTATATTCTTATGACTTTTCTGGATTGAATTTGAGAGACAGAAGTGCCTTTGTCATACAGGGCCTGTTGTGGTGTAGCATCAGTATGAGGTGTTGCTGACAGAAAGGCATGAGATCTATACACTACCCTCTTTTAGGAGAAAAACATAATAAAGGTAGTTGACATTTTAAATTAACCTCTCTTGAAGGCACTTATGTGTTTTAAAATTTACTCTTCAAGGCTCTCTGTAGAACTTTAAACCCTAGGTGCCTACTTGACTCAAGTAGGAATACTTAAAGGGGATGTGTTACCAGTATCTTTACAAAGATACTGTCTACTATATAATACTCAGTTTCCAACTGTTAGGTTTGGCTTTTAATGTAGGAAAAAGTGTGTGTGTGTCTACAGTAACTGTGTGTGGGTGGCTTGTGGTCTTTTTGTCTTCTGGGAAAGCTTTTTGAAGCCAATCAACCTATTTAGTGACCAGGAACTGCATGTTTACTCTTGATTCCCATATAAATTAGGCATTCAGGAAATCTTTTTATATTATGAAAGAAGCTGTCTAACTTTTACGTTTGGATTTTTCCATCAGATTGAAAGAAACATGGCAATGCTCTTTAAAAGACCAGCCTCTTCCCTGTCTGTACTCAATTACAGAGGAAGACCTTCAGCATGAAGGAAGAACGTACCAGAGCACTGCATCCGTGGTCCTTTTTCTCCTTTTCCAGTCAAGCATGAGTTCACTGGTTTTAGCCTCAGAATTGACTGTTAGCAGTTGGGTTTTTTATGACAGAAATCTCTGTTTATCCTAAAATCTGATAAAAAGCTATGTAGCAAGAAAAGAAAGTCACTAGTCCAACTATATTGCATTTTTAATTCATCCTTTAGTTATGCTTTTATATGATATAGAATACAG